TTCGGCCCTCAAATGCCTAAACCCTCAAACCCCTAAATCCTACTATTTCGGCCCCAAACAAGCCTAACCCCCAAAACCCTCTGACCCCTAAACATTGCCCAAACCAAATCTAAGCGCTAAGACCCGAGCGCTATGGCCCCCATTTAGGAAAAAGCCCGGCTGTTGCCTAAACCCTAAAACCTTCCACTTGGCTCTCCCATTTAATCAAAAAACAACCCTAACCCTAAAGCTTTAACCCTTGCCAGGATGGAGCACCTGCGCTTGCAGAAATTGAGCCGCGCCGCTTCCTAAACCGCCTAAACCCTTAGACCCTAAAACCCAACCCTTACCCTGCTCAGGTGCTCATGTCGGCATTTTGAGCAGTGAACATCAATCTTGCAAGGCAATCCCATGCTACATTTCCGGAAACACAAAACTCTTGCTAAAAAGGCAGACAAGTCAAGTTTCTTTAGTTTCAAAAACAAGAAAGAAATCAAGGTTATCCAGCTTCGGGAAAACATACCTTTTTCTCTTGTTTTCCAAAGAAACAAATGTTTCTGGACTCCAAGGCAGTTTTCTACGATAGTTTTCCCACCCCCCCAGAATCATAGATCCAGCCAAATTAGCACATCATAGCCCTGCAGCGCAGTGAAGCATACCATTTTTTTGGTTCCATGTTTGGCGCTAACACACTGGGAGATCAACACAGAGAACCTTTGAAAGGCCACCCAAGGAATCCTGTCAGTAAAGCTTTTTGGTTTGCTGGTAGGATGGGTGCAAGAATGCCCACCAGCAACCAAGATTGCAAGAGGCATTTAAAACCAGTCAGGTTTTGAGCTCTGGAGACTCTTGTGGAAAGAATTCCACCCAGAGCAAGCCAACGGAGGCCTGATAGCCTTACTGACCCAAAGTTCCCCTCAACATGGGGGGGAATTCAGCGCAGCGTTGCAGGAATGGTGGGAGCTGGACCTGGCTAAATATGCCAGTGAGTTTGGGGATGAGAAGGCCATCTCAGATGAAGACACAAGAGCTCTTCTCATGGTTGAATCCCCAACAGCGCTCAAACAGCACCTTGCAATGCATGCAAGTAGCCTCACTGCATATGATGAGGTGAGACAAATAGTTGTCTCCTACCTTCAGGCTAAAAGAGTCTGAACACCAAATGCCACCTATGCCCACCATGGCAAGGCAAGAGACCCAGATGCCATGGACATTGGCAAAATTGGGGACAAAGAAAACTCCAAAGGAAAAGGAAAGGGCAAAGACAAAGGTGGCAAAGGCAAAAAGGGTCACAAACTGAAAGGGAAGGGCGATGGCAGCCAGCATGGGGAGAAAGGAAAAGACTACAAAGAGAAAGAAAAGTGCCCCATTTGTTGGCGCACGGGCCACAAAGTCCAAGACTGCTGGTTCAACTCAAAAGGAAAAGGAAAGGGCCAAGGCAAAAAGGGAGGGAGGAAACACCGTCAACCAGGTGGCAGACGACAACGCGTCAGTCCTCTCTGCGGGCCCCTCCGCATCCCAAGCGGGGAGCACGCCAGCGCTACCAAGCCAGGAGTGCGGCGCATCTCCGATGAGCGCGTGCACGTGCTCAGGATTGGGGGCGGGAAAGGCCGTTAAGGACACGTTTTGGTGGACACAGAGGCTATTGTTTCAGTATGCCGGCCCGTAACCTTTAAGGCAGCCGTCGACCCGGAACAAAAACAAGCGCTGTGCTCGCTGGACGACACGCTTCTGAGCAGCAAAGGTGTTACGGAACCAGTGTTGGAGATTGGCGGGCAGTCCCGCCAAACTGCGAGGACTACCTTTCAGGTGGTCGAGGGCATCACCGACGACATCCTTTCGGTCAATAGGGCCGTGGATGCGGGCGCCAAAGTGGTTTTCCACAAGCCACGCTCGTACATCGAGTGGGCCGACTTCTTCAGGCAAGGGAACCAGTTCCAATGCCCTACACTGAGCTTGCAAAAGCCATACGGGCCACCATAGCACCGGTAGCGGCCAAGGTTATCAACGTGATATGGGCCCGGAGAGAGGCACAGCGGGAGGCAGCCGCCGCAGTAGCAGCTGAGGAAGATGCTGTGAGGAGCGGAGCCTTCCGCGGAGGAAAGGGCGCAGCACATGCCCACCCACGTGCCGTTTAAGCCCTGGTGCGAACACTGCGTTTAAGGAGCTGGCGGTGGCGGGCACCGCCGCAGGAAAATTGATCCTGGGGATGGTTCTCTGGAGACAGTTTCAAATGGACTACACGTTCTACACTCGAGCAGCGCAGGATTGAAGGCTGGTGACTGTCCTAAACCTGGTTGACAAGGACACCGGGTGGCCCCTTAGCACCCAAGTGCCGCGAAAAGGTAGGGAAAGCAGTGCCTACCTACTAGACGGCGTAGAGCAGTGCCTTAACATTTTTGGGCACAAGCGGGTAATTCTGCAGCTGGACGCCGAAAACGCTCTCAGGAACGTGGCCTGGGCCATCCAGAAAAGGATGGGCGCGGAGAAGGTGAAGGTGCGGGAAGCGCCGCCTTACTCCCACCAGAGCCAGGGGGCAGTAGAAGGCGGCGCAGCCAGCTGGCGGGTTTGGTGCGCGCGTGCTTATGGACCTGCAAACTAGCCGCGCGCTTCCAGGTACGTACAACTGACAAGGTTGCCTACCGGATCCTAAATGGAGTGGATGACCAGTCGCCCATATGCGTTTTCGGGGAAACAGTAATGGCAAAACTGCCAAACCCGGCAACAAAAGCGCAGAAACGCGGGTGAAAGGTCTTTGGGTAGGACGGCCTGAACGTGACAATAGCAACATCATCCTCACGGAGGCTGGTGCCTTGACTGTGCGGTCCGTCCGCCGTTTGCCGCCGGCAGCCCAGCACGAGCGTACGAGGAAGTCGGGCCACCGCAGCCACCCGAGCTAGCCCACGACGGCCCAAGCAACAGGGTCGACATAGAGGCGTTGCAGGTTGAGGCTGCAGCGGCCCACACGACGCTTGAGACCCTGGGACTGAGCTCCAGGACGTCGAGGACATGCTGGCCGATCTCGACGAAGAGGGCCCGGGCGCAGCCGCCAGCAGTGCACCACCGCCACCGCCGGGAGCCAGCGCGGGCAGAACTGCCGTGAGGGCACCGCCATTCCCTACGCAAGCCCCACGAAGCGTTGGCAGGTGAGCAGAGCAACTGAAGGCGGCAGGGTCGGAGCAATCCTTGCCGAGGACCTCTGGAGGAGGATCCAGCAGTGGGCAGACTCGGGCCCGTTCGCAGAGCAGAGGCTCGCAACGGTGATGGAGTACCTTGATGGTGTCCTAGACCCGAAGCTCGTGAAAGAGGCGCGCGAAGCGCAACCTGTGGAAGCTTGAGGCGTTCACGCCGATGGCTCGACGAGGCGTTCCCAAGGGGTCAAAAGTCTTCCGCTACGCACGGGTAGACAAGGACGGCCATGCAATGCGGACTGAGCTTGAGGAAATAATGCGGCAAGCTTAAGGAGAAGGGCAGGTGCGACTTTCGCCGAGGAGTCAAGGACCCCTGCGTGTACCTGTGCCTGAAAACAGGCCTGACAGTGATCGGGCCGAAGGAAAAGAGTCAGGTTCCGTCAAAGAAGGCGAACCTTGAAAACATTGAGCCCCTGAGCGCGGGAAGAGCCGCCCAGTGTCGCTCAGCCGTTGGTTCCGCGATCTACTTGTCTGCGGACTGCCGCATGTCAGCTCCAAGGGCTTGCGACTGGGAGTGCGCTCAGAATCTGGGTAGGTGCCTCCAAACCTTTCCAGAGCTTGTTCGAGTCACCGCTCTATATAGACCCGGCGGCCTATGAAGGTCCGCTAGTGCTAGATGTGTTCAGTGATTCGGATTGGGGGGATGCGCAGAGAGGCGCAGAAGCACAGACAGCCATGTGGTTGTGCTAGGCGGAGCTGTAGTCACGACGACAACAGACACAGCCCGGACTACCAGCAACCTCTAGTCCCGACGCGGAGCTTGGAGGGATTAGTAGAGTAGGGCATGCCGTGAGGCCCTGTTCGTCTACGAACTGGCCACCAAAGACTTTGGACTTGAGGTCCAAATGCCACACCGGCGTTACGGCTGCCAAAAGAATAGGCCCAGGTAGCAAACTCAGGCACCTGGAAGTCTGTGAGTTTTACGTGCAAGGCGCGGTCCAGGCCGGAAAGGTATACTGCTGAGACAGGTAAAGGATACCGAAAATCCTGGCAACTTCCTGACAAAACATGCCAAAACGGGCAGGGAAGTGCAGGAAGCCCTGCCATCTCTTGGCATGGTAGACCTCAAATCGGTCGCGGGCGCCACCGCCTACTCAGTGGAAGCCCTTGCTTCCTTTCAGGCCCAAATCTGTGCCTGATTGGGGTAACGACCGCCCAGCAGATCCTAGGCATAAAAGCCCAGGACCAGCAGGATGAGGATGAGATCCTAGACCTGATTCTAAATGGGATTATCCTTGTAGGACTCCTGACTGGGTTGTTCATCACTTTAGGGACACTGTGGGGCATAGCAAGGTGCTGCCTGAGGCGGTGTTTTAGAGCCACTGAGGCCCCAGAGCCAAGAAATCCTACCTCAAGAACTTCAGCCACAAGAAGGTCAACAGGGAGATGGAAATCCCTGAAGCTGGAGATCCCATAGAGGATGAGGAGGAGCAGGCGCAACCTTGTGCAAGTGCGGGCACCTCCGCTACGGCAGACCACCAGCCCCAGAGCCAGCGCCTGTGGACCAGGGACCTATCCCTCAACAACCTGCGCCAGCTGCAGCAGCAGCAGCAGCCGCACCGCCTGTGGGGGGATGAGACGAAGAAATAGGGGTGCTAGGCAGATCCCATGGAAGGATCAAGGTGTGATGTACTTCGCGCCTACAAGGCGCACAGCACACATCTTCAGGAACTGCTCAGGACTTGCCTCTGTTCCTGATGCAGAAATCCGAACGGTGCGTATCTGCCAGTACTGCCAAGATAATTGCACAGGGACGATTGGCTCCCAGTCAAAGCTTCCTCCGATCTCTAGCCAGTTTAGCCAGCTGTGAAATCGCTACCGCGTTGTGAAGCATCCAAATACTCCCCAAACACAACCCAAACCTGACTCCAACTATTACAACCATGTTTGCCTGGGGCAACTCCGGCTCAGTTTGACAATCCGCAAAATTTGAAGGCTTAGGTGGGGTAGCTTTCAACCATTGAAAAGTTTGTGACCGCGCCTTGGCCACCTGCAGCCAATAAAGGAAGATCAAGCAGTAGCAGTCATGTTAACATACATCAATCAATTCCGCCGCCGCAACTACAGCTAAACCTGGGTCCTCTCACTGCCATTCTTGGATCTGTTGCGGTGCGCATGCATTCAAACCCGTCGAATCAAGGTCTTGGGCCAAGTCATCAAAGAGGGTGAAAAAACTTGAGTAATGTTTGCGTGTTGTATATGTCTTTTGGGAGGTGCCCTGGACATTCTGTAGGCCACAAGAGGATGTTCCACGCGAGAGCTCACTTTGAAGCCGAAAATTAAGGACACTCCACGCAGGAGCTCAATCGAATGTCGAACTGTGAGAATCTCCGCTGTTAGGATGCTCCCACGATATCTCAATTAATGATAGTGATAATCGAAACAGAAATGAGAAAAATGAATGCTTGTTGTAATAGTATTCATCATGATCATAACAATACAATGTTAAAATGAGGAAACGCAATTTTGATGATGCAATGGTATCAAATGTCATGATGCGCATGATCCTCCCTTGCCTTCCCTTACGGCAAACATGGCAATGAGCTGCACAGCGTTCCCATACTGGAACCATGGTGATGACATGATTTTTTT